GTCCAGCTTCATGTAACACAAGAGCATCTCAAAATGAAAACTAACTCACTAAATTTCTCATTAATGCCCGAAAACAGTAAAGCTATTGTATGTTTTGCTAATATGGTGTAATTCAGTAATCCATTCTTATTGGTATGTGTTAGGTTTAGAACCTCTGGTTCAAAACCATCTGAGGAGGATCATCATTCAGATACAGTATTCTAAAGTCCACTCCAGTCACAACAGGAAAGGGAATCACACACAATGACAACTCTCTCCCTTTACATCATATTAATAATACCGCCAGGACATGTCTACAAATATGGTCTGCTCCCAGAGGGTTTTAAACCAATACTTTTACAGCATATAAACACTAATACTGTAGTGAGAACCAACAACAGTAATGGGACTAACTCTTTTAAAAAAACTTGTAGCTTGAGATGATCGTGATTGATCTGATATTTGTTACAGAGCGATCAACAAGCGGCTCCCTAGGATTATGTATTTATCAGTAACATTTTAGTTGTAGAAGGTAAATGGAAGATAGCTGAGCCTGGAAGTTAATATTCTGACCAAATACATTACTATCCAAAATGTTCCAACCCACCCGTGCAGTCTTTCCTTCATTTACTTTATCAGGTGCAATACTTTCAAGCAAAAGTAAGAGAATAAAATGAATGACAGATCTGCAGCTTTATAGAATTTGTTTCTTATTTATGACTATTCCGTGGAAGCTGAGATTATTCCTCATTATCGAACACTAATACACACCCGTTGCTCTAGAGTTTTGATGTCTTTCTCCCTGCATCCCAGGCAACAGGCATCATATGGGTCTTCAAGGTTATTTTTATTCATACTTTCAAATCAGTACAAATCGTTACAAATGCCAGAATATATATCTGAAACATAAAAAACATACACATTGCATAAATATGATTAGTTTTGTTTTGGCAATTTTCAATTAGACAATAAAAAATTAGCCGATTTTATCTAACTAATTTTCTTAAGTAAGCACTGCCTCTTTGTACCAATTATGAAATTAATTGTAGCTTTAGAAATATGTATAAGTAAGAAAGGACATTTATTTAAAAAAAAACAATTCTCACCGATAACCTTCATTTTGGATGAAAGACAACTCATAAATAAATGAATTTCATTTTTATAATAATAATAATCCTTGCATTTGATATAGTGGTTTTCACGTCTTTTCAACGTCTCAAAGCGCTTCACAGAATAGACTATAAAATGAATTAACTGTATATTTGTGGGCAAAATGCGGCAGCCAATTGCGCACAGCAGTGTCCCACAAACAGTCGTGGATTGAAATGACCAATTTATTATTTTTTTGAGGGATTATTATCAGGTGTGTGGAGTAAGGAAACTTGCCCAGGGTTTCACTCTGCCAGGAATTTGAACCCAGGTCTCTCGCTTGCAAAGTGAGTGCTGTAACCACTGAGCTACAGGACTCCACTTTTTTACAAAACAAGCGAGCAGGTTTTCTTTTGGTGTCCCTGATGGTGCGCAGACTACCCAAAGCTATCCTCACTGCACTTCTGATTACAGGAATGTGCATTCCACCATTCTAAACAGGGAAGTAAAAACACAAAGTCAGCCGTGGCCGAAAACGCACACTCACTGCCAGCCTGACTCACTGAAAAACTCCCATTCCCTTCTGCAACACCTCTCCCTCCATCTGGGCAAATGTTTTTCACGCAAAGGGTAGTGGAAGTCTGGAACTCTCTCTCTCTCAAAAGGCTGTGGATTATGGCTGGATTCTTTCAAATTTTCAAGACCGAGGTGGATAGACTTTGTTAGATCGGGGATCAGGTATTATGGCACAAGAGCGGGTTATTGGAATTGAGGTATGGGTCAGCCATGATCTTAATAGAACAGTAGAGCAGACTTGAGGGGCTGAATGGCTTAATCCTGTTCCTATGTTTGGGAAGAGTTAATTTGTTTTGTAAAAGAAAGTGTACTGGGACTCAAAGACAGTTTTTTTTAAATCTAAATACGAGAAGGCATGGGATTGGTGAATACGAGATGGGGTGAAGGCTAAACGTTGGACAAGTTCAACAGCTTTTTGGCCACTACTTTTTCAAGCCCTTTGATAGCCAAAGGGAAGGCAAAAAACAGTATTTTTCAAAGTGGTTCTGTACTACTCTACTCGCTCACTGGCTTGTGTGTAGAACTTTTGTGATAAACACTAAAGGTTTGTAGCCAGATCTCTCATTTTACAGATCATCTGATTAAACAGCAACAAAGAGAACGTGTGCATTCACAGATTTTAACCACACTGCCAATTATTTTGGCACAAGATAAAGTGCTAACACCAGTGTTCCTGTGCACTAATACAATCACTCCTTTAATTGCATTATTGCCAATAATAATAATAAACCTTGCATTTGATATAGCGCCTTATCACATTTTCGAGACGTCTCAATGGGCTTTATAAAATATACTGTGAAGTGAATTGACTTATATTTGTGGGCGAAACGCGGCAGCCAATTGCGCACAGCAGCGTCCCACAAACAGTAGAGGATTGAGTGACCAAATTATTATTATTATTTTTTGGAGGCCAATCAACCACATATCAAAAATGGTACCTGGGCTAATCATTTGAATTCTTAATGTCTCGGAATATGTTCTGTGCCAGGAAATGTTATTTTAAAATATTTGTGAAAAAAAGTTTTATTTTAAATCATCATGAAAAAATAATACCTTTGTCCATTAATATTAACGGCGGATAATGCAAAACAGAAATATAGTAGAAGATGGCAGGAATGTTACAACAAAACAGAAAGCTTGACAGCAGCCCGCGAGTACAGAATTTACCCGTAAGTGAGGGGAGACTTAAATAACTCACTGCTATAGACACCAACAAGTCATTAGGATCCCACACAAATCAGGAATTGATTCCGCTCACGACACCCCAGTATAAAACAAAACTGAAAATATTATTGCCCTTTTGTTCAGTCTGTTATTTTGTAAATACAAAGAATAGTTTTGATGCGTCTAAACTCTTCCATCTTCTCTCTTTATAAGCTTGAGCATACCAGCTTGTTAATCCTACTCTGAGAATGGAAACAAGAAATGATGAGCAGGTAGAACCACTGTACATTTTAATAACGTGTCATGGAATGAGATACGATTTCTAGTTCCTTGCCTACTTGGCACTCTGCATGTTAAAATAATATTTATTTCTATCAGTGCTGGCATGCAGCCTTACTGCTAACAGCAGGTAACAAGGACACCTTATACTACTTCCTGAGCTGTTTAAAATATTTTATCTTCACAGTACCAGTGAGTCACACTGACAGAAATTCAGACAATCCCTGTGAAAAAAATATTAAAATATACTTCTGGAGTGTTTATAGTAGTTTTCTGGGGATCTGTGCCCATTTATATTATAGCGACATTCCTGCACTATAGCAGATAACAACAACAACTTGCATTTATATAGTGCCCCTCACGCTGGGTAGCGTCCCAGAGCAACAACAATTGTACAACAGTAAATAGATATTTTCAGTTCTGTGCACAAAGTAATCCGCACTGACTGGGTAAGGTCCAAACAGGCCCATGTGTGTCATACATCATTTTGGTTGGGACAAACCTGGAGTCCAGTACCACACAAACTTCTGGCCTCTGTGATATAATGGGGCCATGAAGAGAAGATACAAGGCTACTCACTCCCCAGTCACAAAGGGATGGACACACAACTATGTGGAACAACTAGTCACCAGGGACTCTGTAGCCCTAAAGAATTGGCACAGACAGGATCTATGGAGGTATATAAGATACAGGATAGAACTAACAAACCCAGAACAATATTTCACACGAGTACAAGAGGGAAGAGTCTCAGGATTGTGATGGGGACTTAGGGACAGACTCTTTACAGAGCTATCAGCAGCCCAAAGGGAAGCTATTTGAGGCTAGGACCAAACTCATTTGAGAAACTGCCAGGTGCTGTGCTGGGATGTGAATGCTGCCTCCAGAAGACTCTTGAAAAACAGTTACTGAGAAGCTGAATCAGGTTATGGGTTGAAGCCCCAAGTCAGGACTTTGACCTCCGTCAAGGCTGACGTTCCAAAGGAGGTGTAAGTCCTTCAGATGAGATGTGAAACCAAGCTCCGTCTCCCTGTTCAAGGATTAAAGATTCCATGGTACTATTCGACAAGAGAATGGACTTTCTTCTGGTGTCTCAGCCAACAATCCTCCATATAACATTATTCATTCACTTCATGGCTATTTGTTGTGCAAATTGGCTAATATGTTTGGCTACAGTAAAATCATGTGAAGTCCTTTGACAAAAGGAGTTGTAGTGAAATTGTGGTTTTGGCCTGTGTTCACATGACAGCTGACGAGTGATTTTAGTTATGTCCTTTGCAGATTAGAATTCATTTCAACATTTATAAACGTTGGCCTGTTTCACTGCAATAAATATGATAGGATATCATGCCTGGCTGGTATGTTGTGAGGAAATAGCTGTGTAGTGGGTTTAGTGTTAAGTTATGCAATTTTCCTATCTTTCCGGTTATGAGCACATCCAGGAAATGCAATATGCGAATAAAATAGCCCAGTTACAATACATCTTTAAACCAATGCAAAACACTCTTCAGCAGTTTTCAGACACATCAATCAAACAATGCCATGAGTGCCGTCACTGCAGCTGAAACCGTAAACTCCGCATTTCACTAAAACAGGGAACAGAACAAACTTTTGTTTCAGTGAAACGTATATCACACGAATATGGCAGTCATTTTGGTACATACAGACGATAATCTCACGTTATCTTCCGAGCGCGAGATCAACCTTCCCAAACCACGGTGGTTTACAATAAAGTTTGGGATTCAACAGGTTAATTGCAATATATATTTGGTATAGAATTGTAATGAAACGGCTGCCTGTCAGGACAACTGTCTGCACATCGAATTGCTAAGACACTTTCCCACAGAGAAGAATAATTCACCACGGGCCACTCTCCCACGCTCTCAATCAGCTGACTCAGGAGCAGCATCGGCAAAGACCACCCGGTCCCTCTCGGTGAGAAGACGACACAAAGCACCACCCCAACCGGCGTAAACAGGCAGGAAACACAGAGCGATCCAAAACGAAACCGAACACAAACACAAACAAAAAAAAAGCTCTCTCTCACTTACAAAGTGAAAGCTGGGTCCTCGAGAATCACGCCTTCACCACGGCACCTGAAGTTTATTCAGCAAACAACTGCACACAGCGCTCGACAGCTCTCAGCAAAGTGCGCACTTCAGCTGAGGTCTGCACGTGCCGATTGAGCCGATGGCAGCCTGGGAGTCCTCGCTCGGGCCCTGATGGTCCTGGAGGAGAACATCGGGCAGAATGCCCACTAACGGTCATTCCCCGGTCGGTCACTCTCTCTGGATATGGATCGCAGGAGCAGAGTCTAATCTAATGGATCCCGGTCTGCCCGGTCTGTCAGCCGCCCACACACCAACGACGACGACTCGCGCTTACGCGGGGGGCAGCGGCTTGGAGCGGCCTGAGCCCGAGCCAGGGGGACGGAGGGAGGGAGGGAGGGAGGCGACTGGGAGGGCAGACCAAGAGGGAGGTCCTCAGTCGTGGAGAAGGAGGGGGCGAGGAGGGAGGGGGATTGGGGGAAAGAGACTTCCAGAGTTTCGGGGTCTAGTGGCTGAAGGCACGGCCACCGATGGTGGAGAGGAGGGAATGAGGGGCAGACAGGAGGCCAGAGCCGGCGAGCGGGGGGGGGGGGGGGGGGTAAGGAGGTGCCAGGGCATGGATTTGATAAGGTGTGAGAGGGGGCCAGAGGACCCCGGGGTGGGGGGGAGAACACAGTCACAACACATCACAGTGTGTCCAGTGAAGCGCTTTGAGATCAGGCGCCGCCACACCCCGGGGTTACTGCTGTTATAGCCACTCACGGGGGGTCCGACACCCCCCCCACACCGACACCCCCCCACCGACCGACACCGACCCCCCCACACCGACACCCCCCTCACACCGACCGACCCCCACACCGACACCCCCCCACACCGACACCCCCCCCCACAACACCGACACCCCCCCACACCGACACCCCCACACCGACACCCCCCCCACACGACACCCCCCCTCACACTGACCGACCCCCCCACCGACACCCCCACACCACCACACGACACCCCCCCACACGACACCCCCCACACCGACACCCCCCCACCGACACCCCCCACACCGACACCCCGACCCCCCCACAACCGACACCCCCCCACACCGACACCCCCCCACACACCGACACCCCCCCCCACACGACACCCCCCCACACCCACACCGACACCCCCCACACCGACACCCCACACCGACACCCCCCCACACCGACACCCCCCCCCACCAGACACCGACCCCCCCCAACCCCCACCGACTACCACCACATACAATCGGTCGCTTGGGCTGTTATGAACACAATCCAAACCGACTTTGTCCCCCAACTATCCTCAGGGAAAGAAATCTGGTCATTCACTGTGTGGCTGTTTGTTGGACATCGCTGTGACCAAATTGGAGGGTCGCGTTTGCGTGACAGTCACTTCCACTTCACAAAAAAATCCTGTGAAGCACTTTGAGATGCCCCGATGACATGATAAAGTTGCGGTATGTTTACGAAATGATAAGGCTGTTGTGATGAGGATATCAAATGCAAGGATTATTATTTTTATTACTTAAGAGAGATCGTCATGAGGCTGCAACAGTTTCCATCTTATGAAACTGCTCTCAAGTTAATTAGGCAGAGAAGTGTTCGAATAAGTTGCGGGTTAATCAATAAGGAAAATAAGGAACAGATTTAACTGGAGTAAAAATATAACAAGTTACAATGAAATGATTATCGAACTGACATTTGCAAAATCATAGTTCCAGAACTCAATATAAGCTTATTATAAAAACACCTAGTAATCAATTTCACAAGTGGAGTCACAAAACTGATCCAACTGGATAAGTCACATAAACCCATAGCACTGACAGATGAACAAAAAGGTACACTGTGTTAATTTAAGGCTTCTATCCATAAAATCGATCAGTCCAATAAGAAAGGAGCTATCAAATTGATAGAAGAATCGATATGCTGTAATTAAATTTTAGTCGAACATTAAGTGCTCAAATGTTAAGAAAGAAGAATCAAATCAAAAGATAAGAAAACTTACTTTTAGCTAAACCTGGTGTCAAATGCAGCTCAGTAAGTACCGTCTTCTTCATTATCCTACATCTTTTATCATTGTGTGGATTAATAATTTCCATCCGCTGTTGGGGAGAGGAACTTATCTTGACAATATCTGACTTATCTGATCCCGGAGAAGATATTTATAGCAATCCATCTTTACTTATTCTGAATGTCCAAACGTCACTTAGAGTGCTATTATCATCTCATTGTGTAACTAACTGATCAATACAGGCAGCTAATTGATTAAACATTAAAATAACCAAATGTCTTACAACATGGACTTCAGGATCCACATGTCCTTTTATGGGAGCTGTGGTGGGATTGCAATACTGCCTAATAATAATCCCTCCAAAACAAAAAACAATAATAAATTGGTCATTTTCAATCCACGACTCTTTGTGGGACATTGCTGTGCGCAATTGGCTGTCGCGTTCGCCCACAAATATACAGTCAATTCACTTTACAGTATATTCTGTGAAGCGCTTTGAAACGTCGAGAAGACGTGAAAAGCGCTATATCAAATGCAAGGATTATTATTATTGTTATTAATGCAGAACACAACAAACAGCACAAAATAGTGACAGTGGTAAATATTGATTATGAGCTCATTATTACTACAGTTAATAGGCAAGAGTTCTCCATTGATTATGAATAGGGGTACTCCAACAACTGTAGCTGGAGGAATGGAATAGGAATTAAGTATTTCTTTACCAGGACGCTGTCAGTTACACCACAGCTCGATACTGTGATGGGAGGTGGAGACCAAATGGCTGAGGGCTCTTTTTCATCCAAACCAATCTAGTGATCTTGTGAATATCGGGAGTTAGTGGAGGGCTATGTTGTCAGTCCTGTGGGTAAGTTATTAAACTGAGGTCTCGTTCACTCATTCAGGTGGAGATTAAAGATCCCATAGGCACAATTGGAATGTTTCTGGTATCCTGGCTAACAATCCACCAGATACAAAATTGGTCATTCACTTCACGGCTGTTTGTGGGACATTGCTATAGACAAAATGGCTCCTGCCTTCGTCTACACATACACAAACACTACACTTAACAATATTTCCTGTGATGTGCTTAGAGACGTCTTGACAACATAAGGTGCTACATCAAATGCCAGACAATAATAATAAAAACAGATTGCATTTGATTTAACACCTGCTATGTATAGCATCTACGTAATGTAATGATTGTTATGTAGACAAGTCTAGGTGTGAAGACGTAGGGGATTGAAGTTGTGACCTTTACCCTCACTGAAGGGCAATGTCTGATGTAAAAAACAATGTTTTTTGTGAAAGTAAAAAGCTATTGTACAAGCATAAAGCTCCATCTACAGGACATTTTAATGGCAGATCAATCACTTCAGGAAATGTCTGCATCTTACCCAATATACTTTATGTAAAGATTGATGGAATTTTTATGATTTCCTCTATTACTTCTCTCCGCCCTCCACTAATTGACTAATTAATCTGTCATTTTGTCACCTTGTAGTTTAAAATATGTTAATGCTATTCTAATTATTAAGAATAAGATTATTATTGGGTAAAACAAATAGAAATAATAACTGTATTACATACAAAGGCCACCAAATCAAAACATCTCAAAGTATGTTACACAATGATTTAATAATAATAATTATAATAATAATCCTTGACTTGAGTATAGGGTTTTATCACATCTTCGGGATGTCTCAAAGCACTTCACAGAATATACTGTAAAGTGAATTGTCTGTGCATTTTGTGGGTGAAATGAGGCACCAATTATCCACAGCAGCGTCCCATAAACAGTTGTGGATTGAAGCGACCAATTATTTTTGAAGGAATTATTATCCCTGGAAAAGCGATCCGTCAATCGACTAACAACTGGGTTCCTAATTATTGCTGGGTAAACAGAGGTGTGGAGTAAGGAAACTTGCCCAACACTTCATCCTGCCGGGAATTGAACCGAGGTTTGCTTGCGAGGCGAGTGCTCTAACCAATGGCATCCTGCCTTTCACATCAGGAGGATGTCTCAAACCATTCTGGTATCCAAACCAGCCCAAGAGATACAAATACCAGTTGAATGTAGGGAATGATAGCAGGAACCCGGTTGTTAGTCGATTGGCAGATTCCTTTTCTAGGGGTAATAATTCCTTAAAAATCCCTTAAAATAAAAAAAATAAAGAATTTGGTCACTCAATCCACAACTGTTTGTGGGACACTGCTGTGCACGATTGGCTGCTGCATTTTGCCCACAAAATACACAGTCACTACACTTTAGAGTATATTCTGTGAAGCGCTTTGAGACGTCTCGAAGACGTGATATGGCAATATATCAAATGCAAGGATTATTATTATGATAATCACAATAAGTAGCCCATTGTAAATGGTAGGCAATTATTGTTCTGCTCAGAAGAGTAAACATGCTTACACTCTTACTTCTTACTCAATTTTACTTGTAGGTACAAAATGGGAGCTTTGTATTTGAATGAGGTTTGTATTCAATGATTTATATAGCCTTTCTGCCTATTTAAACTGAGGATCTAAAGTTAGAGCACACACATTGGATTAGTAATTGATATCCCCTGCACACTAACAGACTGATGGCAACTGGCTGTATAATTCCTGAAGGATGACCTGAACTGAATGTAATTTCAAGTCATGTCGTATGAAAGTATTTTGGGGCTCAAGTAGAAAACAACTGCTCTCTGAGATTCTAGGGTCAGGAGAATGTGCCGAACAGTTGCAGACTGGGAAGCAGCCTTAGCTTAAATCCCCAATGTTATTGTTGAAAACTAGCACTTTGTTTACGGTATAGATTCCCTCTTCAGTTACCTGTTATTCATTTCAGAGGAAATCACATCCTTCTTATTTACAAGTCATAATTGTAGTGTTACATTCAAACATTACATTCAATCAGTGGGATTATTTGGCCACAATATTGTTCCATTTCTAAATATCTCTGTTTACCAGCAATGTAAATGACCATATGTTGTTTCAGCGCTGTAGAATTATTGTTTGTTGATCATGACAGTGTTATTATGTTGCACCACAACACGTACATTAAAAACACTGAACCTAAATTGCATAGTTTTATTATTTTCTATTTATTTAAAAATACCATTGAAGGTGGTAATGGGGATGGCTACAATGTCATGTATTTGCTCAAAGATGAAAATATACTTTATCTGCAATGTTTTATCTGCGAGATTTATTCCCATCAGGGCTTGTGTTTCTTCCTCTTCATGCTTTCTCTTGTCTCTTTCTCCATGTGTTTACTCTTGGGAAGTAGGGCATAAGGGCACCATTCCAGCCATTTAATAGTGCTATATACCTCACAATTCTGGTGGACACACGATCAGGCACAGGTAAACTGCCAATAACCTCTTCCACATCTGTTTACTGTTCAGCTGAGATTAAGTTTAGTCTGCAATTTCATCATGTCCATTGCTCCTTTCCCTTGGAGGTCACAGGAGATATTCTGGCAATGGATATCAATTATAGTACAATAATACTTTCATGTCAGATCTCAAACTGCTTTACATAAATCTGCTAGACAGTAGGATAGTAGGAATGTCCAATGAGAGCCAGAGATAATAATAATAATAATAATCCTTGCATTTGATATAGCGCTTTTCACGTCGGGTGGACGTCCCAAAGCGCTTCACAGAACACACTGTAAAGTGAATTGACTGTATATTTGTGGGCGAACGCGGCAGCCAATTGCGCACAGCAATGTCCCACAAACAGTTGTAGATTGAAAATGACCAATTTATTATTGTTTTTTGTTTTGGAGGGATTATTATTAGGCTCTGTGTGGAGTAAGGAAACTTGCCCAAGGTTTCGCCCTGGTGGGTTGATGTCAGGTTGATGCTCCATTGGGAGTGCGGGGTGATAAGGCGCTATATGAAATGCGAGGATTATCAAAACAATTCAAGGAATGTCTGATTTGTGTATATAGTATATGATTTGTGTTCTAATTCTTCAGATATAATAATAATCCTGGTATTTGGTATAGAACCTCATCATGCCTTCAAGGGTCTCAAAGTGCTTCACAATATATACTGTAAAGGGGATTGACTGTGTATTTAGTGGACAAAACGCAGCAGCCAATTGCGCACAGCAATTAGGTCTAAATAGTGTGTGTATGTGTAGGGGGGAGGACTGATGCTACACAGCCAAACTTGTTCCTGTGTGACATTCATACAGGAATGATGGGCTGAATGGCCTCCTTCTGTGCTGCTACATTCTATGATGCTATGACACATGCACACTTTCATCAGGAGGTCACCAACATCAGGAGATAGATCTTGACTGACTTCCTGTCTCAGCTTGGGGTGCTGGGGCCAGTTACAGCTGCACTACCCCCAACTGAGTCCAAGTAACTCAGCACAGATTGAACCTGGGACCTTGTGCCATTCAAATCAGCATAGTGTTTGACAAACCAACTTACATTTTCCAATTTGAAGCCCAAATTGAATTTTGATAATACTTAATCATAATAATAATTCATCACAATTATTTATCAGCCTCCGTAAGGACATGTAAGTAAATAAGTAATAAGTAAGTGATTAATTTTTACAAACATCAGCAACACTTCTCACCATGAAGTCCCACTGGATTTGCTTCCCTAACAAAACATGCAAAGGTAAGCTTATGTTCTTTTCGTGCTCTCATGCTGTGCTTCACAACAAGACATTTGTTGCTGATCACGTTTCAAATCAGTGTTGGACATCAGCCCACCATTCCTGAGCCCTTTGTCATACACACCCAGTCCTATCTCAACTGGTGACTGGCACACTGCCACAAATGCATCCTAACTCCCACCCCATCCCCAAACAATAATAATAATTTGGTCAGTCAATCCACAACTGTTTGTGGGGCACTGCTGTGCGCGATTTGGCTGCTGTGTTTCGCCCACAAAATACAGTACAGTCAATCAACTTTACAGTATATTCTGTAACACTTTGAGACATCTGAATGACATGATAATGCACTGCATCAAATATACTTTGGGTACATACTAAACATATAGCTCAAATAAGAGATTTGTGTATTTAAAGTGTCTTCCTTGATAGCATGTCCATGTTATAACCTTTTTTTTCACTCCATAACACTTGACTAGGAAGTTCCCTGCCTGTGTTGATTGACTAGGAATTTGTGGGGAATTATTATTATTGACAGTAATAATTCTCATTCAAGAGCTGACACTGTCTATTCTCTCTGTGCCTAATAATGACAGACAGCTCCACAAAAAGAAACTACACCCTCTGCTTGCTGGTGACACCAAAGTGAAACCACCAACAAGCAAAAGGGGTTGGCTGACTGAGTGAGGGGGAGAGAGAGGCCAAAAAAATACTCCGCTGTCATTTTATTCCACTCCTCCTTTGCTAACACAGCCAGAGCCACGTCTCCAACTGGTTTGGTCTTCAGCCCAGCCCTGCCCTGCCCAAACCAAGCCAGCCAACCAGCCAGAGAGAGAGAGAGAGAGAGCAAGGGGGAGGGGAACTGCAAAGGCTGGTGAGGAAAAGGGGAACCAGCACAAACACCCTCCTGACAGCAACATGGAGAGCAATGTGAATGTGGAGAGGAACTGTCAGAGTCAAGGAGACAACAGCAACAGCAGAGGAGAGCAGCAACACTATAGGGTGCAGAACCCAGAGGAGAGAAAGGTACACACAACACACTGTCTGTCTGTCTTGTCTGTCACACTTCTAAACTTTCTCTCTCCCACACAGCCCCCCCCCCCCCACACACAGACAGACACACACACACACACACAGTGATGCAAACAAGAACCAGTTTGCAATTCACTGTACTGTACTTCAGAACCTGTCAAGGCTATTTATTATACATGGAACTTTATTATGAGGGGAAAGACTAGCAAGTAACTAACTTCCCCTTGTCAAAACTGTAATGGTAAGGCAGGACAGACTGTTTAACCAACAAGAGAGGAGAGACATAGTATAGAGTTTCTCTGCAGTTTCTGAAAGCACTACAGGTTTCCATCAGGGCTGCTCTGCTGATTGGTGTCATTTTAGGGGTTGGGAAACTGACATATGATTTGTAAGTTACATCAGAAAAAAGTACTGGTAGTTTTAGTCAGTTGTTTTACTTATAAACTGCCATCAACTAACCAACTAACCAATCAGCCCAACAACTTGGTTTCTATTGCAAATTGTTTCGCCCACAAATATACAGTAATTCACTTTACAGTATATTCTGTGAAACGCTTTGAGACGTCTAGAAGACGTGAAAAGCGCTAGATCAAATGGAAGAATTATTACTTTTACCATTATTTGGCACTTTATTATAGTTATTTATTTATGGCAATTCATTTTTAATTATTATTTTCAAAAAATATTACTTATTTTTTATATGGTGCTGAATACTATGCTGCAGAACATAAACTAATATAAGGCATTCATTAAATTGTATTATTCCAAATATTTGTGAAAGTGCAAGAGGGAAATTATTTGAATGGTCCCAGAACTCCAAGGATATAACTTCCAGCTTCCAAATAATAATAACCCTTGCATAATGGTGGTAGGGAGTCAAAATAATTATTTCAGAAGATATTTTTTGCTTTCAGAACTAATTCCATTACTACCAGGCTGCCCAAAATTAACATGTTGTTCAGGTGGTGATGATGATGATGATAATAATAATAATCCTTGCGTTTGATATAGGACCTTATCACGTCTTTGAGGCATTTCAAAGTGCTTCATAAAATATACTGTAAAGTGTAGTGACTGTATATTTTGTGGGCGAAACTTAGCAGCCAATTGAGCACAGTAGTGTCCCATAAACAGTTGTGGATAATACAATACTTTGGTTTCACCTCCTGAAAAGGGTAGAATGGGAAATCTGCTTTGACTCTGTCCAACAGTGAGCTAAATGGAGCTAAATGGAAGAGTGAGAAGATGAGTGTAGCTGAACTGTCAGAGGGCCAACGCCTCAAAGATGCATCTGTAGGAAAACCTTAGGCAAGTTTCCTTACTCCATACGCCTCTGTATACCCAGCAGTAAGTAGGAACCTGGTTGCTAGTCGATTGGTGGATCGCTTTCTGGGGATAATAACCTTTTCAAAATAAATAAATACATAAATAAATAATAATTTGGTCACTAAATCCACGACTGTTTTTGGGACACTGTTGTGAAATTGGCTGCCGTGTTTCGCCCACAAAATATTTACAGACAATTCACTTTACAGTATATTCTATGAAGTGCTTTGAGACGTTTCAAAGACATGATAAGGTGATATATCAAATACAAGGATATTATTTTTAAGATTATCATTATTATTAAATAGACACCTGTAAATTTTGGGAGACTGAGAAGGCCATAAAGATGCCTTAAACTCAATATCAGTTGTTGTGTTGTTTATTTTTGAGAATCATTTTCAATTTTCCAGGTCTAGGTGTAATAAAAAGGATATTGGTGATATGGGCCTGAAGGTATATTGGATCATGTCATTGGTATCACCATATTCTAAGTTTGTCTCTTTTTCCTTTCTCCGCCCGCCCACACCCTCATCAAAATTACTGGGTGGAAAATGCTTATATAGAGAATAGATAATATGAAAAATTAGTGTGTTAAAATTAAAGTGAATTGATATCATCAATTAATTATGAATGGTGCAGGATAAAATTTGCATTGCATTTGATGTGCAGAATTTTCTCGGGATTTACGCTCTGAAGTATATTGTTGCTGTAAAAAAGCTTCTGGAGTGGACAAGGGAAAAGTGAACAGTATTGCCGCCTAATATAATATTAGCTGACATTTCTGTTTGAATCACCTACTGGTGATGGCTGGTGTTATGTGAATTTTGTGTGATTATAAAGTGGAACTAATGGTGGCTCAGGTGTTGGTTGGTTTTGGTAATGAACGCCGTGTTGAGCAGCTGATGTCAGCTTGTCCGAGTGGGTTTATTTTTGTCATCACAAGTTGCTCTGGTTTATGATAGTATTCCACTCATTCCGTTCAACTGTGCGTGCCAACAGGTGGAACTTTTAAATAGATAATACAATTGATACTAGAGAATGAGTTCAAATATATCATCTTATCAAAGGGTTGGGGAGGAGGGGTGGGAATATGGGTTAAGTGATATAACCTCCGAATTGTTTTTAACAAGTATTAATACATAGGTTCAGTCAATTCATTAAATAATATATTTTGTGACATTGTTGGTGTGTGTGTGTGTGTTGGCACACTGGTGACCTCTCTTTCTCAGATATCGCCAAATGGTTCATGTCCTCCCTTACTTCCTTCAAGGCTCGTCTCAAGACTCTCCTCTTCAACTGTGTCTTCATCTACCCTCCCTGCCCTCCACTCCTCCTGATCCTAACCCCCAGTTCGTGTCCAAATCCCTGACTGTCCAGAGCCTTGAGGTGTCCTCCTGATGTGAAAGACACTGTACAAATGTAATTTGTTGTTGTTGTGGTTTCTAGGTTTCTGGCATATGAAAGCATACAAAAAGACATTTTACTGTCATGGAAATAACAGAACTTGCAATTCAGAAGATTATAGAATAATTGCTTCCAGATAATGTATTTGTATTCCATAATTTGAGCCATATCATAACTACCACATTGGCTTCGCATTGCAAAGCTTTTCTTTTCTGTTTGCAGATGTTATTGTGCTATTGGTTGACTTAACGCAGTGGTTAGTGCACTCACCTCGCAAGCAAGAGTACCTGAGTTTGATTCCCGGGTAGGGCAAAATGTTTCGCCCACAAATATACAGTCAATTCACTTTACAGATATTCTGTAAGCACTTTGAGGCATCTCGAAAACTTGATAAGGCGCTGTATCAACTGCAAGGATTATTATTATTATTATCCCATGCACTGCACTCACCATCTTGGAACACTGGGCCACTCACTGGGAACCCCCGAGTGCATCAGTATGTCTTACATGAACTGAGTGGGGACTTTGAAGGTATCGGTTGGAAGGTACAAGGGGCGTCCGTCCCATTTGTTGTTCGTATTGATATCCGGGGATTGTGTTGTGTTGGACACCAATCTTTGCTTCGACAATCTGCCCAAGGAGAAGGGACATAGGGCGCCCTGGGAATTCTCATTTCTCTTCAGTGATGACAAAGTACTGATGCAGGTTAAACTTGGTGTGGCAGGACATGTGGCCAAAAGCTTCCCCTTTCATGATTGAAATCTCCTGGGCAAGTGATGGAAGGGTTTCCTTCAGCCTAGGATCAAGTGGAGAGGTGAGATTGTGATAGGAAGGGGGAGCGCCTGCAGGGAGACATGTCCTGAATGAGCCCAGACTGTTTCAACTCATTTCACATTGATTTGAGTCCACAGAATGGAGTGTCAGCCAATCAGTCTGGGCTAGATTCACACAAAGATTCCTGAGATGAAAGGACCACATTGTTAGTGATCTATTTTCAAAAAGATGTACTGTACTGTGGTGCACAGTGATGTACTGTAGATGTGATATACTGCAGATGTGGTGTACTGTGATGTACTGTAGATGTAGTGCACATGGCTGTGGTGTAAATGCCACATGATGAGGAGTTTATATTGCAAGTTGTTTATATTGTATAAGAGCAGAGAGAACATCAAGACAACAGGTTGATTGGCCAATCACTAGGTTGCAGTTGGCTGCCTGTTATTACTCAAAAGCACAGGAAGTAGGAAACCACATCATAAAGATTGTTTGCTCTGTTACCACACGGCTTCACCAGTTTTAACAAAGTTAATGACTAAAAGTTGGTAATATCAAAGATGATCATATTTTGTCTCCTGGAGTCTATTGTGTCATTTGACTAGCCCTGGGTCAAGAACTTATTATATAAAAAAAGCTTTCAAACTTAACTCATAGTAGAATAACGTGACCCTTAATCCTGTAGGTAAATATCCTCAGGTAGGGGCAGGGTGGGGAAGATGAGGTGAACAAGGGTTTCCTGGGGGCTGAGCTGGCTGAAGGTGATGTACTGACAACGTGATGTCAGAATGGAGCTTGAACCTTAATGGTAGGCTTGCTAGTCTGCTTCCTCAGCTAGGTAGGTGGTTTGCGGTGCTCTTCAGTGATTATAGCAGGCTAAACATTAGAGGTATCCCATAAGGTCCCCAACCTTTGGCTCCTATCTACCAACCTGTGCCTGATACCTTCTGGGAATAATAAACTTGGTACTGTCCAGGATGAGAGCATGCATTCCATTCCAGATAAATGAGACATGTTCATGTGGTGAGTATATGTGGAACTCTGTCTAGGTTGGATACGGTTAAGCATGGCGATGGGTTTCTGCCTATGCCAGACATGCGGCTGACTCAAATAAATAGCTGACTCAAATAAATAGCTGACTGGGCTTTAGCATTGCTGGAACTAATTTAGAGAAATATTAGCTTGAATTGTGCTGAGATGCAGATCTACCTCGAGGTTATACCAGATGTGACCTCACACTTCAAACATGAACACGGCACGGATGGGAAGAATTATACAAAGACCATAGCAATCACAATATAGTGTGAGGTCACATTATTATTCTGCCTCCATTCTCTGGTACTCCACCCTGCACAATAACTGCCCATTTGCCTACAACTGGACCATCACTACATTTGACAATGATTAACCGCCCTGGGACTCTACTCTGCCTGAGGGCGCGGCATAAATGCTGTTGTTCTTGATGGCCTGTGAAGCACTTTGAAATGTTTAGAATGTACAGGTGCTACATCAAGTATGAGGATTATTATGACAAAGTGAATGCAATACAAACATGATGTTTGCAAACAAACTAATATAATAATAAAACACAAAATACTGCAGATGCTGTAAATCCGAAACAAAAACAGAAGTCGCTGGGGGTCAGGCAGCATCTCTGGAGAAAGGAAAGTGAGTCAACGTTTCAGGTCCACGACCCTTGGTCTTCTCCGCTCTTCTCTTTGATGATAAGCGTTCCTAGAGAAGAAAAACATTGATAACTATCATACTGGAATGTATGGGTGGGTTGAATAACAATAATAATCCTTGCATTTGATATGGCGCCTTATCATGTCGTTGAGACGTCTCAAAGCGCTTCACAGAATATACTGTAAAGTGGAGTGACAGTGTATTTTGTGGGCAAAATGTAGTCTCCGTGTTTCACTTTCAAATTTTGATCAGATCGGTGTGGTTTTTTTTCTGAAATTAAATGCCAGGGGTGGGGCATGTGAGATATTTGCAACATAGAACACAAAAAAGCACTGCAGGACGAATGGAGCTCATCGGGGTATGAAGTTGTTCTGAGTGTATAGAGGTTGCCCACAATGCTGGTATGTGAAACAGCACAGGCCCTGTTCATGCTGAGAGTGCACAGTGCTATTGAAAAGGCTGCTTGGATAGCAGTTTGCACTGGCAGGGAAATCTGCTGACCAGCTTATTATGGGGAGTTTAGTTTGCATAGTCCACTTGAAGTATATTGTCACAATGCATTTGCGTGCCTTTGTCTGCAAACAGTTCAAAGTCAGTCTTTTGCAGTAAAAAAATGAGGCCACCGGGTAAAATGTGTTAGATAGAACTCAGAGCTTCCCTCCGCATCGCACAGCTATCACTGTAAGCGTTTTCCCCTGATTACCATGTCCATAACAACTGCAGATTCACTAACAATAATGTGGAGCCTTTCGATTAGATTTGATACAGCAAGTGTATTCTGGGAGCATCATGTCCGAACATATAAATGACCATTAGTCAGAGCTCAGTATAAAAGTCATAGTCCTGGCATTTGATACAGCGCCTTATGACCTTGTCGCCACGTCTCAAAGCGCTTCACAGAATATACTGTAATGTGAATTGACTGTATGTTCTGTGGGCGAAACACGGCAGCAAATTGCGCACAGCTGTTGTGATTGACATTGCAAGATTTCCAGAGCTGCATGGCCAGTTCTAGGATGAATAGAAGATTTAATTAACCTTTAATTTGGTGGAGACTTTGGAAAATAGGATGCACTATTTTACCCCACAACATTTTACCAGATGATGAAAGAGGTTTGAATGATGATGATGAAGAAGGAGCCCTTTTGATCACATCCCAACAGAATACAAGCCCTTCCAACTCCTTCCTATTCCAGCATCTGGCTTTTTTAAAAACAAAAACAGCTTCAGAATGGCGTCCTAACCTGTTCCAGATGTTGATTATCCTGAATATTGTGTAAGGAATTACTTCCTGTTGGATCTCCTCCTCTTGTCCTTCAAAACCATCAACCTGCGACCTCTCATCCTTCTACTGTGAAGTCTAAGAGAACAGTTCTGGATTTATTTTCTTGATTCCAATTAGCATCTTGTATACCTCGAAAGACTCCATTTAAGATATATGGAGTCCTGTAGTGTCGTGGTTAGAGCACTTGCCTCGCAAGCGAGAGGACCCGGGTTTGATTCCTGGGCAGGGCGAAACGTTGGGCAAGTTTCCTTTTCCACACACACGCCTCTGTTTACCAGCGGTAAGTAGGAATGTGGTTGTTAGATGATTAGTGAATTGCTTTTCCTGGGGTTAATAATCCCTCCCCAAAAATAACAACAATTTGGTCACTCAATCCAGGACTGTCTGTGGGACAGACTCTGCTGCGGGCAATTGGCTGCCGCATTTCGCCCACCAAATATCCAGTCAATCCACTTTACAGTGTGAAGCGCTTTGAGACGTCTCAAAGACGGGATAAGGCACTGTATAAAATGCGAAGATTATTACTATGCTCACGAAACCCTCTCTCATTGGGGATTTACATTGTGTTTCTCCTCTGCACAGTTCTGAGAGGCCGGGCAGTGCCAGTATGTGGTGTGCTTATAATAATGTCTGACATGAGAATAAATATAGAGGGTAAAGTAACATACAGGACTATTTATTGTTCATTCAACTTCCTTCAAAACTTTTGCATCATCAGTCGTTACATTTTTAAGACTTCATTCTTGACAACGTTTAACTTTTATTGGCAAATGTGTTTGGGTGATTAACACCGGGAAAGTTTTATGAAATAACTCGGACTCCAAAAGATATGTATTTTTAAAAAAAAATCTTTTGAATTGTTTGATCAGTAAATTTTAAACGCGTGGCAGTACTTTATATTTACCACCAGGGGGAGCTGGTGGGTTAGAATGGCCTCGAACTTGAGGCGTCAGCGTTGCAAAGACCAGAATACATTGTCGGCCAAATTACATCAGAGACTTATCCCGTCTTCGAGAAACCTCAAAGCGCTTCACAGAATATATTGTAAAGTGAATTGACTGTACAGTATGTGGGCGAAATGCGGCGGCCAATTGCGCACAGCAGCGTCCCCACAAACAGCCGTGGATTGAAGTGATGCATTTATTATTTTAAAAACAATTATTATCCCCGGAAAAGCGATCCACCAGTCGACTAACAACCGGACTCCTACTTACTGCTGGGCAAACAGAGGCATTTCTTTGTGTGAAACAGACATTGCCTATTCATCAAGTGGAACAAAATACACAGTCAAATCACTTTACAGTATATTCTGTGAAGCGCTTTGAGACGTATTGAAGGCGCTATATCAAATGCAAGGATTATTATTATAATTGTTATAACATCACAAGGCAATCCTATTAATTACAAGGCCACCTCAAAGTTAGCTTTTGCCGAAGTAACATTGGTCAAAATCTGTAAACATATTGACTTTCCATTCAATTCCCTATGTAAGTAACACTTAGATTGAATTATATTGTTCTTTTTCAGCGAACACCTATACCCAGGATGGCAACAATGCAGTATAATCATCGGATTAATCCTCATGCACAGCAGGTAAACACGGCACTTTAAATTTTTCAGTCTCAGTCAAAAGGAGAAGATAGTTTGTATGACAGGAGATAAAGGATCTTCATTAGTACCAATGTGTTTGATGGACTTTATAGATCTTTGATCTCCACTTTTTCCTCTCACCTTCTACTGACTTTCCTACTGTTTTTAGGCATTTTTAAAGATTTTATGTGTTTTGTGTCAACAATGTGATAAGGTGCTATATCAAATGTAAGGATTATTATTATTATTTAGGAATCCATAAAATCAGGAAATATTGGAGGAAATAGGAAGGGTAGTTTGAATGGACCAATGGTTTACACCTGGGTGAATTAGTTACTTTGGTATCTTATGTAATTAAATTCTAGCAAAGAAAATTTGAATCATTCAAGCTGGTTTTCACTATAAATGTTTTTCAGTGCTGAAATAAATAATGTAAGACTGTGTAAGACCCAGCCCTTGGGACGTCCTCCCGACGTGAAAGGCGCTTTATAAATGTAATTTTGTTGTTGTTGTTTGTAAAATTACCTATGTAAATACACACTCATATTATAATAGTTACTTAAAAGAGAGTTAATGTTTAACAGGAATATATTGTCCTTATAAATAGGATTACATAATTCCCATTGCCCATAGATAATTGATTTGCTCTGTGTAAATTTACACAGATAGTCAGATTAACATAAGTACTGAACAAACAAGATGTTTGAAAAGCTTTATTTCTGTAATAGTGCTTCATTTCCAGGTCAGTGTTTGGGCTGAAACCTAAAAATGATGTAATAATAATAATAATAATCCTTGCATTTGATACAACACCTTATCACGTCTTCGAGAAATCTCAAAGCGTTTCACAGAACATCTGTAAAGTGTAGTGACTGTATTTTTTGGGTGAAATTATGTATAGTTAGCGTGCAGATTTGTGCAGTCTGGAAAATAACTGTAAAAGTAAAGATAATTAATTTAAGTAGTTGTAACATCCAGTGTATAATTCACATCTTAAGGCAGGGTTTATGGCCTACAGATCTGTTTGACGAATGCATGGTTTTGCAGCCAATCTGTCCGGTGTCCTCCTGTGACTAAAGATTTGGATTTCTATGTGTACCAATAAAATATCCTTTCTACTTCCATCCCGCTAATTGCTGGAAAATATGGCTCAATGTATTACACGAGAAAAAATATTCAAAGTTATTTTTAGTTTATTTTGCTGCGAGGCTTACCTCCCACGCCACTGCTGGTAATATCCTCACCGACAGACCTCGCTGCCAATATCCTCACCTCACTGAGATACTGCATCCCAGAGATGCTGTAAATTACTCATTGTTATTTCCGGTAGTTTACAAAATACAATCCTTGCCCTTGTTTTAAAACAAAGTAAATATTATTGTTCTGTCTACGGAATGCTCTGTGCAGTTTATATTTTTAATAGAGCGAGTTGAATTAAATGTGACATTCATCATATGTCTGTACCTATTCAATACGAAGTAGGTAAATTTTATTCAATCCTTACATGCCAGTTGAATTATTTTTTCAAGTGTTCCTCATTATAAATATTATAGGGTATTTTTCCTCTGAAGCATTGTATAACTATAGAAGAAACTCATCCTGAAATTGCATTTGCATCATTTACAATCCACCTGCATTTCCACGTTTGACCCATTTCTCTATCTTTATGACAATGTAAGTACATCTTTGCTCGCAATATTGTACATGGAAGTGTTTCACCCTTGTGTAGAAATAAAATGTGCTCAGTTTGTTAATCAGACTGACTAAACTGTTACATTCTTGGGAGAATCAATAGGATTTATAGCTCGTTCTGTCACTGCGAGACCTCATAAGTAGCTTTAAAAACTCTGCTTGGTAATTAATGAAGGGCAATGCAAAGTGTCTGATCATCAGAACAGATTTATGTTAAGAAATATAAAAGGAAACATTTTACAGAACATAATTTATAATGTTGTTAGCAATCATACTGAACTTTAAGTCAGTCAGGGTGACTTTGCTTCCTTTGCAGGGCTGAGTCTCCCCTGGAAAACAGATACATGTTTCAGACATTCTCTCTGTATTTTGCTCTTCTTCGGTATGTTTTGGTAGTTCCGAGTAATGAATTTTGAGATATTTAGGTAACATTTCTATGTGCGTGTGCGTGTGCGTATGGTGGGGTGGGGGAGCGGGGGGTGAATGGGATTAATGCATAACTGCAGAAATTCATAGGATCTCACAGCACAGAAGGAGGCCATTCGGCCCATAGTGCCTGTGCCGGCTCTTTGAAAGAGCCACCAACTAGTCCCACTCCCCCACTCTTACCCCAACTGGTCCCAGTCCCCCGCTCTTACCCCAACTAGTCCCACTCCCCCACTCTTACCCCAACTAGGCCCACTCCCCCACTCTTACCCCAACTAGTCCCACTCCCCCACTCTTACCCCAACTGGTCCCACTCCCCCACTCTTACCCCAACTAGCCCCACTCCCCCACTCTTACCCCAACTAGTCCCACTCCCCCGCTCTTACCCCAACTAGCCCCACTCCCCCACTCTTACCCCACCTAGGCCCATTCCCCCACTCTTACCCCAACTAGTCCCACTCCCCCACTCTTACCCCAACTGGTCCCACTCCCCCACTCTTACCCCAACTAGTCCCACTCCCCCACTCTTACCCCATAGCCCTGCACATTCTTCCTTTTCAAACACTTATCTAATTCCCTTTTGAAAGCTGTGAATGAAGGACCGTTTTACTGATCCCCGACACAGTTACTACTGTATCGTACAGTTACCTTACACTTAGTTGGCCTCCTTGTCAGCCAGTGCTGGAATGTTCACCGTGCGGAGAGATTTATTATTGTTACAAATCTCAGCAGCCTGATCCTTTTATACACACCAGACTTCACAGCTCTGCTGGCTGACAGTCAGTGTCGTGATGGATCCCACATTCTCTGTCTTTCAATTCCTCCCCCTCCCCCTTTCCTCCCCCTCCCTCTCACTTTCCCCCTCTCCTTCCTCCCCCTATTGGAGTTCAGTGAGAAGGAAACCACTATCACCTCCGCGATCCCTCATGACATTTGAATTGCTGCCATTTTCTCGATTGAAGTTGAGCCGCGATGTTGAGCGAGTGCGGGGAGAGATGAAAAGCAGAATTGAAAACAACGTCATCAATAATAATTTTGAAACTACTAAGAACAGAAAGTAGGACAGGAAATTAATGGAGAGGTTTTTTTTTAAATCAGCCTATTAATAATGTCAGGATGCCATAGAATCAGTAAATGCAAAACAAGGCACAATCAGAACAATTGCAGACACTGAAGTGGTTGAGAATATTATTATTTAAACAACAATATTTTGGTCACTCAATTCACGACTCTTTGTGGGATACTGCTGTGCGTAATTGGCTGCCGTGTTTCGCCCACAAAATGTATATATAGAGATATATACAGTGTACAATCAATTCACTTTACAGTACATTCTGTGAAGCTCTTTGAGACATCTCAATGACATGAGCTATATCAAATGCCAGGATTATTACTACAATATATTATCGTAATGATAGCAGGGCTGTAGTTTGAATTCTGAGCATAAAGTTCTTTACAATATTGTCTCCAAAGTTATTCATTCAGCACCTTGCACAGCAGTGACTAATCTGATTGCTACTACTGTACTTATCATTCTGCTTCTTGCCATCTCGATGCATGTTTCCATGTCTTTAGCCACTGCAGTATACAGTGTATATACAACAGTCTTCGCATTGAACTCATTCCAGGGGACTACATTACACTAAAGCAACAATGCAGCACTGAGCAAACCACAGTAAATCCTCACATAATAAAGCAGTTATGCTGCCTTGATATCTCTGAATGAGCTAAATGAACTGTTAAAATCATTCAACGTGTCATTTAAATGAGATACATTACAAATGATGGAAAACATAAACAGAACTGAGCCAACAAAACTCACTTGCCTTTTGGCTTTAGGAGTTATTATCTTGACCAGAAATTTATAGTATATTCTGTGCAGTGCTTTCGAACGTCTCGAAGACATGATAAGGTGCTATATCAAATGCAAGGATTATTACTATTATTATTATACTAAAAGAGCAATAGATAAAAGGCTTAAAATTATGTGAAAAAAGCTTAGAATTAAACAGATGTAAAATGGTATGTGTGATTCGGATTGCAAGAAAAGAACCTTTCTCTCTCTATACCAGGTTCCCTTTAAAGACTGTAATATAAATGAGTGCTTCAAATTATTTTGGCTCACAAATGCAAGAAATAATCTACTTTGTTTACGGAAATATTGTATGAATCAAATTTCCATGTTTGTCCTCTGTTGTGCTTATTTGAAGTACTAGGTTTAGTTTCTCTGACAGTGGGTGGCAGCAGAGTACAGTGTCTTGTACACTCTGCTTATTGCATTTAAACAAAAGTATAAATTAAGCAAACGAGAGGACCCAGGTTCGATTCCCGGTCAGGGAGAAACCTTCAGCAAGTTTCCTTACTCCACACGCCTCTGTTTACCAGCAGTAAGTAGGACCCTGGTTGTTAGTCGATTGGCGGATCGCTTTTCGAGAGGTAATAATCCCTTTAAAAAGTTAATAAAATAATAGTTCGGTCACTCAATCCACGACTGTTTGTGGGACGCTGCTGTGCATAATTGGCTGCCGCGTTTCACCCACAAAATATAGTCAATTCACTTTACAGTGCATATTGTGAAGCACTTTGAGATGTCTCGAAGACATGATAAGGTGCTGTATCAAATGCAAGGATTATTATTGCTATTACGTTATTCCATAAAACAAAATTAGCAATCTCTATAAATGTATTCTAAGATGTTGCTTAGCAACAAACATCCATCCATCTGATCTGCAACTAATATCTCTGTTATAATAGACATTTAGTGTCACACTCACATTGACATGTTCCTTAATGAACCACTAACAGGCTTTATTCGATTTGTTTTCCAAATGTTATCCCCACCTGCCTCTTCCCCCCCGGCTCCTGTTCCCTCTCCATCATAAGAT